GTCAGTCCTCAGTGGCCAAGGCCGCTTTAGGATGCTCTGGATGGGTTTCCCTTGTCATGGAGAAAAGATTTATCTTGAAGGAGGAACAGCCAGCTCATTCAGAGATAGAAGTGCTACAGATCAGCTGTCTTCAAACTAAAACAGTTACTGGGGGAAGAGATTTCCCACCCTAGAAATGTCCTTGCTCAGATGCCTGCAACCGCAGGGCCTCTTGGATCTGAATCTGGGGGATTCAGGGCAACTGCTGAGAGCCCCCCTCACCATGGAGGCTGTCTCGGCTCCCCTGCCAAGGACACAGGATAGCAAAGGTTATGGGGTAGGGAGGGTTGTAGGCCGCTCTCTGGGAGGCACCGGTCTCGGCTAAATACAAGTGGGGGCAGATCCTGTGTAGAGCATGTGGTCACGGGGTTTGCTTGTCCAGCCCAGACCCAACTGAGGCTCCCACTCCAGGCCCAGCTATACAGGTCCCCTGCTGATGGTGATGGTAGTGACAATGATGATGGTGATGGTGATAGCGGGGATGGTGACGGTGGTGGTGGTGGATGATAGTGATGGTAGTGATGGTGATGAAGGTGGTGGTGATGGTGGTTGTGGTGATGATGGTGATGGTGAAGATGGTGATGGTGATGATGGTGATGGTGATGATGGTGATGGGGAAGATGGTGGTGATGATGGTTGTGGTGATAGTGATGGTGATGGTAATGATGGTGATGAAGGTGGTGGTGATGATGGTTACGGTGGTGACGATGGTGATGGCAGCTGACTCTTATGGATGCCTTACTGCGGGGGTGCTATACTAAGTATCTCACTTTAACTCATTTAATCCGCACTACAAGCCTAGGTGGTAGGCACTGTCATTCCCACTGTCATTCCCACTTTACAGATGAGGACACCAAGGCACACGGGGCTAGACATTCCCCCCCCAAGGTCACACAGCAGAACTCCAGCAGTCTGACCCCAGAGTCCATGCTCCTAGCCAGCTCTCCACACCACCTCCAGTGGGGTTCTGGCAGGTTCTGTTCGTAGCCAGCCCTTTGAGATATCCCTCATGGGCTGTGATCCTATGGTCATCTTGATAACCCATGGGGCAGGAGAGAAGCTCCAGGCCTGACCCTGCAGGATGGTCAGACAGCACAAAAGCAGTCTTGCACACCCAAACTTCCCTCCAAGGGCTTCCAGATTGGAACAGAACAAAACAAGTGCTACCCAAGGATCTGTGATCTGCTGGGAGGTCCATGTTCCCCAGGCTCCATGTCTGCAATGCAGAGATGCCCTTGAGCCGCTGCCTCAGGGGACATGAGGGGGCCAAGGACTGTGTGCCCAGGCCAGCCTCCCTGCCAGACACCCTGGAAAGAGGCCATGCTCATGTACCCACCCTGTCCCCTACTGTCCCCAAGCATCAGGACCCATCCCCACTTTGGCCTCTGGGCAGTGGCTCTGGAGAAATCCGTGGTCTCTGACCCATGGCTGTGGCCTTCGAGGCCCCCACCTTGACCAGACACCTCTGATCCATCTCAGAAGTGCCTCACTGTGGCAGAGCCAGGCTGTACTGCAGGAGACCGCCCAGCCGGCCGGGCCAGGCGAGCTCTAGGAGAGGACAGAGGCATAGGTGTGAGTGTCGAGGGGCGGGGTGCCGGCTGCCACCTGTGGCAGTGTCTCACAGTCATGGGGGGCCCTGTGAGCCTCCATTTCCTGGGAGGACAACAGCGTAATTACCCAGTATGGCCAGGGAGATACGGGGAGGACAGTGTTGGGGGAGTCTGTTGGGTCCAGGGGTCAGAAGGGCCATTTGAGCTGGTCCCTGAGGGAATTACCCTGAAAGATTGCAGGGGCAGGCACGGGGCTGGTGGTGAGACGGGGGGCCAGACTGCTGGGGAGGGTGAGTCCTGGAGCTCTCCAAGGACCAGCACAGAGACCAGGACCCCAGAGGTGGTGGACCCAGAGGGGAGGCCCCAGCCCTCCTTCCTGCTGAGGCCAGCCCCTGTCCCTCTACAGCCTCCCCTCCTCCAACTGTACCCTTCAGGCCACCATCCTGCTAACTCCTGGTCACCCAAACTCAGCTCCAGTGGGAGCTCTGGACAGTCTCCTGTCCCCTCTGTGCCCCTACCTTGTCCCCGTTCGTCAGCCAGGGGCTGGTGCTTCCTGGGCCTTGCGGGGACCGAAGGCTTTCTGGCCTTTGTTTGGACCTAGTGTCTTGAAGACAAAGTCCAGAGACCTAGAGAGGTGCCTCTTTCCCACTCTCGGCCTCTTCCTCAGCCAGAAGGGCACTCCCGAAGCTCCTCTCCAGACCCACACAGCCCAAGGGCAGCTCACAGTGGGCAGTGCCGGCCGTGGGTGTCCAGGCCGGTCTCCCCAGGACCAGCTGCACCTCACTGACTGGCATAGGCAGGGCGGCCCTTGGAGAGATCTCAGAGCAGCCGGCACCACGGAGGCCCAGCCCACCCAACACGGTGTCGGAAAGCAGGGGATGCCTGGGCTGGTGAGGCCCCAAGGACATCTGCACTGCCATCGGGGACTCTGGAGACTTCCACAGCCTCTCGTACAAGGCCGTGGTGGGGAGAGGTGGCGGGGCTTCTGGGGTGGGCCACGAACAGCCACTATTCAAGGTGCAAAGCTCTCTCCCTGTCTGCTGTCTTCAAAATCCTACCTAGTGGAGAATGGGTTTTAAAAACAGCCTGTAGGCCGGGCAGTACGCCCGTAATCCTAGCACCGTGGGAGGCTGAGGCAGGAGGATAGCCTGAGCTCAGGAGTTCGAGACCAGCCTAAGCAAGAGTGAGAACCCCCCCCCTCACCCACCCATCTCCACTGAAAAATAGAAAAAATTAGCCGGGCGTCTTTGGCACACACCTGCAGTCCCAGCTACTCGGGAGGCTGAGGCAGGAGAGTGGCTTGAGCCCAGGAGTGTGAGGCTGCAGAGAGCTGTGATGATGCCACAGCACTCCAGCCCGGGCAACAGAGCGAGACTGTCTCAAAAAAAAAAAAAAAAAAAAAAAAGGCCTTTAGTTCACCTAAAAATACACAACACAGCACAGACCAGGCTGCTGGGCACAGGGAAAGCAGCAGGCGTTCTCCCCTCTCTCTTACCCACCTGCTGGGTGGGGCCAGTTGCTGGGCAGGTCCACTGGGCCCCTGTGCCCTAGAACCCTCACCCACCGTCCTGTCAGACTCCCACCTGCCTCTGCCCAGCCTCGGCCCACCCCAAACTGCTCCCGCTGACACCTGGGGGTGTCACCACAGCTGGTACCCTCCAGAGGCCTCTCCCGTCCACCCCCCTGCGCCCACCCGTGGGCCCTCGTCCACTCGCAGACCCGCGCTGCCCACACTGCCGAGGTCTTGCCTCTGCCGGGCGTGGCGCACTCCACGCGGGGCCCCTCTCTGGATACCTGCTGCTCAAGTGGCAGGTCCCCATGGCACTCCTCCTGGGCCACCCCGCCTTGACCCTGGTGTCCCCACTAGCCTGACAGCTGATGCAGACCCGGGCCCTGTGGTCCGTGGTGCTGTCCCCATCTCCAGCGTGCATGGAGAGGTGCTCACATGGCTGGCGCCTGTGCGGAGCAGGTGGGCGGCCTCTGGCCAGGCCCCTCCCCCAAACTTCAGACTGGGCTGGGGGGCCCGGCTGCCGGGCATTTCTTCTCCAAAGTCAGCCCCACCCAGCCCTGGAGGGGGCAAGCTGCGATGGGGCTCCTCCCTGGGCCTGGCGGCCCGTGGGGAGAGGCTGCTGACCCTGGAGGTGCCATGTGGAGGCGCCTTCTCAGCCAGGGCGAGGGCGAAGCCCAGCGGCGCCAGGGGCCCTGACTGTCCCTGGCGGCTCCAGGGGTGGCGGCCCAGGCGCAGGTCCGACCCGGGGAGGGGCAGGAGCTGACGGGCGGGCAGCGTCGGGTCGTCAGGCCAACTGCGCTGGCCCCGGCCCCGCCCAGCCCGGCGCTGCCCGCCCGGCTTAGGGGCCCGGCCTGGGGCCGAGGTCGCTGCTAGAGGTCCAGCCCCGGGGGCTGCGATTACAGCCCAGCCCGGAGTCGGCTGCGAACGTGCTCGGCGTCGCTGGGGCAGTCTGGGGAGCAGGGCGCCTGCGGGGGTCCGGGCTGGGGGTCGGCGTCCGCTGGCGCTGCCACCTTCCACTCACCTGCAGTCCCCGCGGGCCGGGCTGCGCCCTGGGGCGTCCCTCTGGCTCGGGGAAGGCGGCTCCTTCCTTTGTAAACTGGCCGAGGCCACCCGAGGGGACGCGCGCGAGACCTCCGCACGGAGCGACCCTCCCCGGCCCCGGTGCCGGACACCCCTGGGTGGCCCTGGGTTGGGCGCGCGCCCTCTTGTAGCCCGTGGAGGCGCCGAGCACGCGGGGGTGGCCCCGTGTCCCGCCCCACGCGGCGAGGGCGAGACTAGGCCGCGGCGGGGCGCCGGCCCGGGCCCCCTCGGCGCCGCGTCTGCTCCGCCCGGCCGGACCGGCTTCCTGCGCGCGCCGCCGGGACCTCCTCCCCGCAGTGCCCGGCGGCCACCAGAGCCCTGCGCGGGGGCGCTGCCGGGACACCGGGGCGCTGCCCCCGGAGGCGGGGGACCCGGGACGGCGTCGGGAGGCGGAGGGAGGGCGGGGCCCCAGGGCAGGGCCGAGGCTGGGAGGGGCCGGGACAGGATCG